TATCTCAGAAGAAGCTGATTCAATAAAAGTGAAGTGACATGTTTTTTAACAATGTCTCAATTTTGTTGGCTTTTCTGTGGGTAATTGTCAAAATGTTTTTTACACTAAGATTTCACTTTAAGTCAAAATATTTAGTTTATCATTTACAAAGTAAATTTCTGACTTCATAGTAAAAATCAAAAAGAAAAGTTGAAATGAAACATTTTCAAATTGTCAAAACAAGCTAATATTTCACTCTTTCATTTTTCAAAAAATTCTGAGATTTTGACATTTTTATCCAGAACTGAGATGACATCAAATTTCAAAATCTTGGCTTTTTCCATGGAACAGAAATTCTGGTTTGGGGCAGCTCTACTTGTTAAAGTGTTTTTCACTTAACAAGATTAATAACTGCCTAGATTTTTTTGTGTTTCTAAAATGGAGTGAAAAGTGCACACAGCAAAACTGAGTGCCTGTAAGGGCACTGTGATATAGTTTTTAAATAATGGAAGTAATGGAGATTCATAGATTCATAGATGCTAGGGTTGGAAGGGACCTCAATAGATCATTGAGTCCAACCCCCTGCATAGGCAGGAAAGAGCTCTAACTGTGAAGAAGTTCTTCCTAATGTCCAGTCTAAATCTGCTCTCTGCTAGCTTGTGGTCATTATTTCTTGTAACCCCCGGGGGTGCCTTGGTGAATAAAACCTCACCAATTCCCTTCTGTGCCCCCGTGATGAACTTATAGGCAGCCACAAGGTCGCCTCTCAACCTTCTCTTGCGGAGGCTGAAGAGGTCCAGGTGCCCCAGTCTCTCCTCATAGGGCTTGGCCTGCAAGCCCTTAACCATACGAACGGCCCTTCTCTGGACCCTCTCCAGGTTATCCGCATCCCTCTTGAAGTGCGGTGCCCAAAACTGCACGCAGTATTCCAACTGCGGTCTGACAAGTGCCCGATAAAGGGGAAGTATCACCTCCTTGGATCTGTTCGTCATGCATCTGCTGATGCATGATAAAGTGCCATTAGCTTTTCTGATGGCTTCGTCACACTGAAGACTCATGTTCATCTTGGAGTCCACTAGGACTCCAGGATCCCTTTCCACTTCTGTTCCACCAAGCAGGTAATTTCCTAGGTAGTAGGTATGCTGGACATTTTTCCTGCCTAGGTGCAGCACTTTGCATTTCTCCTTGTTGAATTGCATTCTGATAATAATAATAATGGTGGTCTTTAATTATTAATGCCTGCTAGTTTACATAGGCAAACTCTTGTATTTTTTTTAATTTGTAGACTAGATTCTTCTAACCCATATATATTTACTTAACTTTATGCATAGGAAAAGTTTCAGTGATGTCTTTGAAGACACTGGGATTTAGGCACACATATACTGCCCTATAAAAAGCCAGAGGGAACCCTCTTTCTTTTTCTAGTATGTTTACTCTTTGCAACACTGCAACTCACTCTTCTTTCTGGTATTTATATAAGAGTGTCTAACATAAACCTAACTCAGTAACTGATTTGTTTGGCAACTCAGCTTTAGGATGTCGTTAATGATAATCAAAGCTCTGAGCAGGGTTTGCTAGTTAACTTGTGCACCCTCTGGTGGCTGGTGCTGCTGCAATAAAGCAAAGGTATGTTAAGGTTACACAGGGACAGTGACCGCCAATCAGTAATAGAGTTTGAATGGCAAGTATTAAGACTTTAACATTTTGCCTGCACTATAACAATAGTAAAGTCTAATGTGCACTATAAATTTATTTTAAATGATAGATACATTTAAGAATATTTTTTAAATTAAAATAGATTTTAACAACCTGATATTCATTTAAGTTACCAGAAAGCCATATATTAAATTATTTTTAAAATTTTATCAGCAGGATTATGCTCATATTAAAAATGAGTGCTTTTCTTGTTAATTAAGTGTCCTTAAACACTGATTTAAAAATATATGATTACAATTTTTGATTAAATGTTAGTTATTAAAGAGGATGTCCTATAAAATGGACATTGTAAAAGAAGCAATTTGGTTGGCAGTTTCTATTAACTAATTATCAGTGGGAGGAGGGAAATGATGTATTACTTCTGCATTCAAAATATTATTTTTCCCCAAAAAACAAAAGCAGATTTTAGCAGCCAGAACCTGCACTTAGGACCTCAACTACTCAAAAATGTCAATTTAACATAATATGTAACCTTCCAGAGGTCCTTTTACTTAAGTCCTCTAGTTTTACAAATTAATTTTGATTTGTTAAGATGCCTATTCATGCTCCTAATCATCCATGGAATGCTAAAATACAAGTGAAAGAATAAATACAAAATAATTGTACTGTACCTAGAAAAGTTATTTTATAGTGTAATATGTCATTAATATGAAAACCAATTAGCCAGAATTTACAATTATGAATTTCAGTCTGTCATCATAAATTAATCAGCTCATCTCTCTTGAGAATCTGCATGTGTTCTGCCAGACTAGAAGCAAGTTCCAGAGCTCAGGAACCTGCAAATACCCTTATGGCACTCACAAATAGCTATACACCTGAGCTGCACTTTCTCCACCCAAGAAAAAGCACAAGACAAACAGCACAACACTAACCCGTTTGCTGCAGTGCTGCTTCAAGAGTAATGCCTGCAATACTGCCCCAGCTTCATACACAGGACTTACTGGGCCCCGACTTGGCAGTGACTGTCACCAAACACCTCTATCATCCCCTGCCTCTCAAAGTATTTTTTTAATAATATGTTATTTGTGAAAGCTGTCAGCATATTTAACACACTTGAGGCTACGGATAGAAATTACACATAAACCAGTATAAGTGACTGGAAACTGGTTTAAATCTGTAACACAACAGAAATCCAGTGCATATAAACTGCTTTCAAAATGGCCAAAACTGGTTTAAGATAACCCTGACTGGATGTAGTACAGGGGTGGGCAATTATTTGGGCCTAAGGACCACACAGGGAGTTTTGATGAACTGTCGCAGGCCAGGTCAGCAACCCCCCCTCTTCCCTACTGCAACAACTCACCAAAACTCCTAAGGGACTTTGGGCGGGTGGGGAGCAGTATTTGGGAGTGAGACAAGCATGATCTGCTCCCTTCATGTTCTGCCTGGGGGGGGGGGTTGGCAGGAGGGTATACCGGGGGGGGGTTGTGCAGTGTATGGAAAGGGTGTGAAGGGGCTGCCTGGAAAACAGTGCGGGGCGAGGGGAGGGATGGGGAGTCGGAGGGCGCATGCAGCAGAGCTTGCTCGGTCCACGGCTGCCCGTGCCTTGCTCCCACTCACACCCACTGGCCCAGACCCCAGCGCACAGCTTCTGGCAGGGCTGTTCCCAACACAACTGCAGCCAACTGGGCTCATGTTGCCACCAGGAGATGGGGGGAGCACAACAGCAGCTGCAGCCAGAACAGCCACACCAGAAGCTGAGTGCCAGCCAGGACCAGCACCAGCAGGGCTGCTCTGCTTCCCTTGCCCCCATCTGCAGCTGCTACCCCCACTCCTGCAGTACTGCTCTGTGTGGGCAGGTGGGAAGCTTCAGTTGGGTGGCTTATGCCCAGCACTCTAGCACCCAGCTGCTTTCCACCTGCTTTACCCACCTGGCATGATGAGCAGCCATCTGCAGGCACGTGGCAGGGGGCTGGGAAATAGAGCCAGAGCTCAGGTGTTGGGCAGGAGCCACCCAGCTGAAGCTTCCTGCCCACCCACCCAGAGAGGCACAGTAGGAGCAGGAGCAAGAACAGCAGCCACAGCTGGAGGTGAAGGGAGCAGAACAGGCGTGCCCCCGCCTCCCCCTCAGCAAGCAGCTTCCAGTGGGGCTATTCCCAGTGTGACTGCAACCAGCTGGGTGCTGCTGTGCTCCCCTCACCTCTAGCGGCCACTCCTCCTCCCTCTCCTGCCCCTCCATGCCCAGGCATGTTGGAGAGGAAGCTTCAGCCTGGCTGCTCCCACTGGAGGTGTGGGGAGCAGAGGAGCCATGCTAGCTGCAGCCATGTTGGGAACTGCCCCACCAGAAGCTGTGTGCTGGCCCTAAAAAATATTTCTCTTAAATTTTCTCATTAGAAAATATTTATCTGCTTCCGGCTGCCTATCAAAGTTGACAGGACCTAGGGGAGCCTAAGAAGAAACGCAACAGACCATCCCCTCCTCACCTCCAGCCATTTCCCTGCCTCCGCACTGCTCCAGCACTATTGCTGGACCAGGGAGTATGGGGTTGTGTGCGTTCGTATGAATGAAGCACAAGCTTTTATACGACCACATCAACATGCCACACTCTTGATCTGTGAACCTTTATAGGTAAGAAGGAAGTTGGATTTTTCTGGCACATTCAGTGCTTGGATTCTCTGCTACCAACTGCTGTCAGCTCTGGCAATGTCTTTTGTGAGGTACCTCAATAGATACCCAAATATGTGGTTCTGCGTATCCTTCGCATCAGGAAAGAGCTGGTCACTCCTGAGCCCTGGATCAAGCAAATATATATAAATACTTTTATACACGTCTGAGTTTTTACAGCACCTGAGTCAATACAAATCCTGTCCGGTTCAATACTGACCAAAAAGTATGGCTATGTGAAGGCTCTGATGCGCCAAATAAAATGAGTCCTTGAACACCATTTAGTTTAGCACTATTAGTATCTTAATGTCTGTGAACAAAACTGAGTCTACACGAAGATCTGAACTGGCCTTTGTGTGGGTCATGCTTCTTTTACCAAAAGAAAAAAAAGTTTCCATAGTTTTAAATTCAGCAATTTTCCAATCACTAAATTTATCTTTAAAGCCCACAGCCAGTGTGGTCAGGGGCTGCACGCACCACTCAGCAGGGAGCTGAGGGCTGAGCCATCTCCTCACCTCATCCTGCTGAGGGCCCCATCTTCTCAGGATTGTTTTTGTCTCTTTCCCCTGATCAACTGAAAAGCACGTGACTGGGTATGGAAGAGGTCAAACTAAAATAAAATGTAAAAATCCTGTTTCTATTCTGGTGTCTTGCCTAACCGTGTATTTTATACCCTGTTGCTTTAAAGAATAAAAACCAACCCCTGGATGCGCTGTAACCGCCTGTGCCTGGGTTTAGCAGGATTACGTGGCAACACGAGTCTTTCAAGGCAGCGCTGGGGGGAAAGGCCGGTCCGAGGGAGGCCGCCGGGGAGCTCGGCCCACGTGACTGCGCGGCGCTGGGTTCGATAGGCCCCGTGCCCGTGCCCGTGCCCAGCCGGGCGCGCCGGGCCGAGC